GAAGAACTTCTTCACAGTTAGAGTGGCCAAAGTCTGGAATGGGCTCCCAAGGGAGGTGGTGCTCTCCCCTACACTGGGGGTCTTCAAGAGGAGGTTGGATAGGCATCTGGCTGGGGTCATCTAACCCCAGCCCTCTTTCCTGCCTATGCAGGGGGTCAGACTCGATAATCTATTGAGGTCCCTTGCAACCCTAACATCTATGAATCTATAAAAAAGGTATATCATAGAAAATTAGGGTAAGAAGGGACCACAGGAGGTCATCTAGTCCAGTCCCCTGCTCAAAGCAGGACCATCCCCAACTATATCATCCCATCCAAGGTTTGGCTCCCTGGGTTTAAAAACCTCTAAGGATGGAGATTCCACAACCTATCTGGGTAGCCTGTTCCAGTGCTTTACTACCCTCCTCATGAGAGAGTTTTTCCTATTATACAACCTAAACTTCCTCTGCTGTATTCACAGTATTCCAGATGTGGCCTGTCAAGTGCCAAATAGAGGAGAATAATCACTTTCCTCAATCTGCTGGAAACACTCCTAGTAATGCAGCCCAGTATGCTGTTAACTTTTGCAAGAAAGGCAAACTGTTGGCTCATATCATATTACAAATGTTTGAAGGAATCCCAATATAAAGAGTTCTTAATGTCAATTAATGATTGTTCAATTAAGGAAAAAGCCAGAAGCTCAAGAAGTCTTTAAAGGACATTGTGAGGATGCAGGCCTGCAGATTAGGCCTGTGCGATTAGGGAAATATTCAATTTGGATTCGTCCGATTTGGAGGACAGTGATTTGATTCGGCCAATTCAGCTTCGGAAGATTCAGTACTGATTCAGAGAGATTCGATGATTCAGATCAGCCGGGCAAAGGCAGGCAGAGCTGGGCAGCTGCAGGTTCTCCCGTGGCTCCTCTGGCTGTGCTTGTCTCTCCCTGGGCAGGGGGAGCTGAGGGAGAAGCTTCCATGGCTGCACTCCCTGGCCCCAGCCCAGTCTCGGCACTTAAAAAAAAAAAAAAAAGCCCTGCACTCACTGGTTGCAGCAGAAGCAAATGGGGCCTCTGAGCACTGGTGGCAGAACCCCCTGGGCAGCATGGGGCAGTGGGGGGCAGCAGGGATTGTGCCCTCCACCTGGCACCCTTGCAGCAGCTGCCCCATGGCACACATGCAGTGCAGCTCAGCAGGGCTCTATGCGCTGTCTGGGACCTGGGGTTGAGCACTGCCAGGCTAAGGCTATGGCTGACACGTGGAGCCACCCCAGCTCCCATTCAAATCAAATTGGGGCCTGGGGAATTGAACCAGGTTTCATTGTTGCATGAGCAACAGTTTGTTTTCCTCATGTTTTGCATGAGCAACAGTTTGTTTTCCTCACGTTCCCATTCTCTTCCTTGGGATGGATTCCACAACCTGACTACATTTCCTATGATTCAGTATCTTCCCTCTTCTAGAGGGAGAACATGTTGCATTAAAAGAAATGTAGTTTGTCTAGGAAGCCCCCTTAGGTGCAGGAGAGGTCCAATTAAAGATCTCACAAAGCATTTAAGTGATTCAGTCAGGAGTGTTTTGGTCCTAATATTTTTACAATTATTTATATAAAATATTTCCATCAAAAAAGTTTCCAATTTCTGAGCAGCTCTAGAGGAAAGGAAGCATCCTGAATTTTCTGTGTTGTTTTGCTTTCAAGTTGCAGTCAATCCCCAGCCACTTGCCTGATTCCAGAGAGTGAAGAAGGTTCTTGATTCTCTATGCAGCAAGAGAGGCAGAAGGAAATATGCTCCTTGATCCAGAACTAAGAAACAGCAGTAGCTTTGCTGCCTTGTTAGTGATGATGAGCATCCCTGTACAAGGCTTTGGCAAGAGTGTTTATATGAGTTCTGTCCCGATGACATTATGCTAGTGCATAAGCCTAAATGGAACTGTTGCCAAATTATTGACTGATTGCTTAAGTGTATTTGTATTACAAAATAAAACAGCTGAAGACATGGAAGCTGTTTTGCCACTCTCTTCTCTAAATTCAGTAATAGCAGTAGGGGCTTGCAAAAGAAGTGCTGCATAGAACTGTTTTGCAAGGAATTGATTATATATCACAAAGAGGAATGGCATGGGCTATTAATATTGGGACAGAAGACTAACTTTTGGAATGCCCTGTGTTTTGGGAGCCCACTATTTCCACTTTAACTTTGCATTAACATTATTTGTTTACATTCACTACATAGACAAACACTAGGATAATGAATTTGTATGTGCACGTAGAAAGTCGCATCAATTTCCCTTTTTATTTTTCCTTTTTGGCTAAGACTCTAAAATGACTGGAGATGATTTGGGATTACTGTTGGATTACTGATATCATTAAACCCTACTGATTCTCATACTGACCTTATTGACAGTACTTAAACTATTCAAATTAAAGACTAAGGTTGTAATAATATTGTCCAATGATAAATACAACAGTGTTCTCACAAAGACATATTTTAAGCATACTTTCAAGAGTATTTGGTAGTTAAAGTAGACAAGAACATTTAATACTAGAAGCAATCTAAACCAGTCACTGCAAGTATGTGATCAGCAGAATTCATTATCTTTATTACAGCCTAAATAATGATTTTTTGGCACATGTAGACATACTGAACATACATTGACCATGAGATTTTTAATCTTTTCCTATAACAATTCCTTTCACTTCATGACAGTCCAAAATCCAAAGATCCAAAATAAAAGGTAAATGCCAAACTCAATAAACCCCATTATTCTGTTTAAAATTGTTCATTGTAAAATAATTAATTGAACCTAGCTACTGTGTGAACTTTGCAGAAGTTTAATTTTAACAGCTACACAACAGATAGTAAGTGTTTGAAAAAAAACCCTTGTAACAAATTTAATCTGTCCATAATAGCAGAATGCCCATTTTATGAGGCCACATTTATTCTTATAATTGGCTATTTCCTGTCTTTAAATGCATATTTATTCATGTCTGCCACCTTTTTCTCACTTTATTGGCCCTGTGGTCACCGCATTATCTTTCTCTTCAAAATCAATTGACATTTTTATGAAAAGAGTTTGCAAGATGTTTAGCTCAGTGAGAGTGGCATATAGAACATGTGCCTGTCACATCAAATAATCCCTGTTAAAACTACAGCATGCAGTGGTTAAACTATCAGTAAAATATACCAATTTTTTTCTCTGGATTTTATTTGAATTTTTTTTTATAGATGAATTCATTATCTCAAAACATTAGCTAGTGGATATAAATAGTACAAGTAATTTTTTTTTTCATAAGAACTACTGTCCAGTGTAATCTTGCATCTCCTATAATTGAAGCCAGGGTAGAGATGCACCTTGTAGACTAACTGAATCAGAGAAGCATAAGTTTTTGTGCACCTAAGCTCACTTCATCAGATGCATCAATGTTTATACATTTTTTCCATGCCTTCTGCTTGACTTCAGTATAACGCAATTCTCCTTACCTATCTCCTTCAATATACATTCTGAAAACATACAGAAATTTCCAGCTATAATGTAAGAATAATTTAACTTCTGAATATACATTAAAATATTAAAAATACTGAACAGTTTTCTCAACCAGTCTCATAGAATACAATGTAGAATATTTGTTAACTATATGATATTCCCTTTTGACTCTTGATTAAGCTCAACCCGTGGTAGCAGTAATGCACAATTCTTTCACTATGCCCCATTAGCTTCTCGGGCTGAAACATACTTCTTCACTGTCCCTACGTGTACAGACATTATTGCTGCCCTGCACAAATAGGGACAACTCATTCCATTTGCTCATGGCAGGAAATACCAGCTCTGTGGCCTCTCTGCCCCTTCTACCTAGATCCACTTTAAGAGCTGTAGTGTAGTTACGTAAGTCAGGGGTAGCCACCCTTTTCTGGCTGTGGACTAGAATGTCCCATCCCACATCAGAAGCAGGCAGATGGGTAGGTGCTACTGCCACTTGTTCCCACAGGGAGAGTGCCACCCATACCTTCCCACCATTGAAGCCCCACATCTGCAGGTCAGAACCAGTGGTTCTGTGAGTCAGATTTGGTCCTCAGGCTGTAGTTTGCTGATCTCTGATGCAAGTAATGTTCTATTTCCTTTACTCTCATGGCCACTGATGTTAGCTCCCACCACAATCAGTTCCTTAAAGAGTGCATAAATAATGGAGAGGAATTAGTACTAGTCTTAGTGTGTTGAGATTCACAGTTTTGGGAAAGATTCACGTTAGACTTGTATCTTATGTTTATTTAAGAGAGAGACTTAAATCACACAGGATAGATACAAGTCTAGATTTCTGATTGCCTACTTTGGTGGTGGTTAGATCAAGGGTCTGGTTCATATGCATCTCCATTGTATGTATTTAAAAAAACCCGTGTAGTTCTTGTGCATTATAATGATTTGAAGCTAAAAGCAGGCAAGAGATATGGATAAAACTGAAGATAAATCCTCCTACAGACAAGGGAGGAATTTCAACTGATTTATTTTTTCGCATAGTTGAGTGCAGGTCAGCTCCTGCTGCTCTTGTTTGATCTTACAAAGAAAGCCAAATGCTGATTCAAAACGTTTGTTTCTAGGTGCCAGGTTGACCTGTCAGCCCTGAGTAAAGAACAAACTCACAAGCTGGAGTTGCAGCTGGAGGAAGGAGAAGGATGCCTGGTATTGCTGGTCACCCTGACGGCCTCAGCTGCAGTCAGTATCTCTGACCTCTCTGTCAACTCCTTGGAGGACCAGAAAGAGCGAGAAGAAATACTGAAGAGATATGTATGTAGTATCCATAACTTGCCATTTTTAATGTAATATTATAAAGAAATAATAAATGTTAAAAATTCTGAATTTATCTATTACCCACTAGTAACAAAGATTTAACTAAGCTCTTAATATTGTAGTAATTGATTTAAAGAGTTTGATTATATTCACAGAGCCCCAAATCCTATTTTTACATAAAATGTTGTGTCAGTAGTTATTCAGCTATTTTACTTGACTGTGGCATTATGTAATTTTGATTATTTCAATGTTTTCCAAGTATAGCATAATCTAAGATATTATTAGCAACTTTAGAGTGTTCTAGTAAATATTCCTTTCAGCTCCTTGGGGTGTGGAGAGTTTTGCAGTTGTTAGCATATTAGAATGAAAGAAGCCTTTCTATTTTTTGACTGAGTACTAGAGTCTGGAGCATTGGTTTGGGTCATTAAAATAACTATATTAAACTATATTTCCATTTCAGAATATTCTGAAACAAATTATTTTATTTCCCAGCATCCTCACATTACACAGAATCTTTGTAGTTTTATCAAAGCAACAGAGAGGGGAGCCCTTACTCCAGCATTTATTAATACTCAAATCACTAAAATAACTGTCTCACTACACATAAAGAAAAAGGGGAGAAAAAAACCAAAAAACCCCCCTATTTCCACTTAAAATTACAAAGCTTTTATTGTACAATGCTGCCAGGTGTTTAGAAGGCTTCTCTAGACACTGAGCCATTAAACCAAGCTCTGACTAACAAAGAGCCGCTTAATTTTTTTTAGATTTTAAAATATTCCTATTCCCTGACTGACATCCTTTCAATAACTGAATTTAATAAAGATGTACCTTATCAGGCTGTGCAGATAACATGAAGTGCTAGTACTAATGCTGTACAATATTCTTCAAACAGATTAGCAGGATGTGCGCTTCAGCAAATTTATTCTGGCTATCTCCACCGAATCAGCTGTCTGCTAATGCTTGTACAACTCATACACCAATAGTGTTATCATAAACTCAGTTTAATAGAGGTGACTTAGTGAGGCTAAACATTATATTTTCTAACCAACTGAGAGCTAAGGCATTGTGTACCACGTTTGAAAAATAATTACAATTATGAGAATTATTTCAGATTTTGATATCCAGCAAGGCAGAGTCTGTTGTTGTCAGAATAGATCTTTATAAATATAATACATTTCTGATGGATTTATTTTCTATAATGACATACATTTTGATGTTGAGTGTAACAATACCATATTTTTGTGGATAATTGTGATAACATGTGGCTGTTAAGTGATATTGATAGTTTAGCGACAACATAGGGAAATACGATTGCTCCACGTATATATTTAGCTTTCTTCAATTCTCTACTTTTGCTTTAAAAGTTGAATGTATAACATAATTTATGTGGTTTGAGAATGATCAAATGATTTCTTATTCTCATATAGCCACATACAAACATCATTTTTCAAAATTTAAATATATCATCAATATACACATACTGCTGCATTCGAAACTGAAGAAAACACATAACCATTGTTTGAGGGATGTTTCTAATTTGCTACTTGACAGAAACATAAGTTTACGTTTACATATATTCCAGAATTTAATACTGAATACCTTGGGAGAAATTGCAGTATTTTGTTTGCTAAAGTGACCCATAGATAGCAACAGAACAAATATGTACAGAATCCAGATTATTTCTTCTCATTGCTAAGTGATTTATCATTATACTGTCAGGCATATACAAATAACTAATATACAGTTAGCAAGATGCACTTATAGCATTTGGAAGATATATTTTATTTTTATTTTTTTTACTTCTTAAAGGCAAACAACATTTGAGAAATACATTTTGCACCCGTTCCTGTGGCCACAAACAGTTAATGAGCTGACCCTGCCATCAGATCAAATAGCCTTTGAAAATGACTCTATTACTGTCATTTAACCATTTGTAGCTGAACATCAGAGCCCTACAAATTAAACAGACATTACTGTTTGAACCATTATTTTACCACAATTGTCTGAAAAAATTAATTCCTTTTGGGGTGGGGAGGAGGAGGGCAGTAATGGGTACAGACCAAGAGAGATTGTATGACCTTTTCAGAACGGGTGTGCTGAACCCATGGTCCCCCTTGTCACAGTTTAAAAACCAGAGGAGCTAGTTTAGAGAAGAAGTTGTTAGCATTCCATTTTTATTATGACATTTCACAGTCATCCGATTTAATGTCCCTTGACCGGATTGTCCACCGTGAGACGATGGGCTTGAAATGTTATTTAGAGCATTGATAAAAGGTGAGCGGTTCTAGGATGACAGCGAGTCATAAGGCTGGTGGTGTGACATTAATTTTCTCCATAACAGAGATGGAATAAGACGTCACGGTGACAAGCTGTCAATCAGTACTGGCCCCTCAGTGTATCTCAATGCCATAGGATGGGGTATTGCTTCTCCCATAATAGAGCTGAACTGAGATGCTCTCCCTGACAGCTGCTGCAGCCATACAGAAAATATATTATACAGCCTTTCATTAAAAAAATAAAGAGGACTCATCTCCAGAGCATTTCAATCTTTTCCCATCTATTGAGGGCTGAAAGGATTCACAGCAAATCATAGATTCCTCTGCTATGGAAATTTCAGACTTTAGAAGCTATCTAGGTTTTGAGGCCTTCAACAATAATCATAAATAAGAAGACAGAATATCATCTGATAAATCATTACATAATGTTACATATTTAAAGTAATGTAATAAAGTCATTTTCTTTTCATAGAATCCCTACAATAATATCGCACAGTATGTCACTAGCCCAGGCTGTCAGAATGTACAATAAATGAGTCTAAATCAGCTGACTTGCCAAAACTAAAAGTTCAAATGATAATTATCCCAGAGAGTCTGAGAAAGGGTTTCAAGAGTGAAATACAGCAATGCTGCCTTTTAGCAGAATGAATTTACCAGTGTGATTTTTTTTTTTTTTAAACTTTGGCTTGGTCTCCCCCCTCCCTCCCCACCCCCCACTCCCAGTTTGCTGTTTGTTTCAGCCACTTGGAAACTTTTGTTAAATAGCTACAAAAATTGTGGTGCAGAAGCCTTCTGGTAAATCTCTTCACCTTTTGCACTACATTAGAACAGGAAAATTATCTGTATTTTGGTGCCAGCTCTGATAAGAAGCTTCCAAAATTAAATTTGATCATTATTGTAATAAATGACAGACTGTTCCAACAAACATTTGAATTATAACGTTGCTATCGGTAACACCATTTCCACCACCCTTGGTTTGCAAGCACATAAATAGAGTGACGTATGTTTTGATTCAGCTTTATCTGTTTATTTTAAACAGATTTCTGATGATAAGCAAATGTGAATACTGATTAAAAAATCTCTGTGATAAACACTGTGTGTGTGTGTGTGTGTGTGTGTTTGTGTGTGTGTGTATATAAAGCATATGAGATTACACATAACTGCATTTCCTCAGCTCAGTATACCAAGGTCAAACATCCGCTGTAAACAATAATCAGTCAGAGGGGACTTATAAAACTAATATCATAGTGTGATTTGACTGTCAGAATTCTCTTGTTAATAAAAAGGCAGGGATGTGCTTTAATGTTTGTTAGGCATAAATATATTACATTTTTCAAACAAGCTAACATTTAGGATTGCGCTGAAGTGGCACCTTCAAGATTACTTCAGAACAGTAATCTTAGTTTACTGACTTAAAGCTCCCTAACAGTTTTACCTAACAGTTTTCCCTAACAGTTTTACCTTATGACATATTTCAGAATCACCCACCTAGTGTCTTTCTTGCTGCTTGCATGATTTAAAATCTCAGACTTTGTTATGAACAGTACAAGCTATTTCACTTGCTCCATATTAAAGCAGTAAAATAAGGCCCTATCTTTAAAACTTATTGGCCTTGATTTTAAAAAATGGCTTCAATGGATTTGTGCACAAGTGCTAGGTTTTAGGAACAAGACCTATAAAAAAAATTTTAAAAAATTTAAAAATCAAGCCACATACATTTCTAAATACGGACTTTAGAATTTTATTTTAATTGACCATCTTTTGAGTTCCTGACTCAGATTATCTAATGGCTAAAATATAGCTTTGGTACGTACAGTTAATATATTGTGGGCTTAAAATTCATCTGCAGAATTGGCGGTATGATTCAGGCCTTATAGAAACATTTCAGCCTCTTGGGCTCAATTACTATAATACCAGTATCTTGCTTCTGGTCATTTGAAAACATAGCTATCAGTGTTTCAAAATAGTTTTCTAAAAGGTTTTCAAAAATGTTGCATATCATGAATAAATGTGAACTACTCTTTTCCAGTGTTGATAAATCTAAATGATATATAAGCCTTGCTGGCAAGGAAGGAAAGATCTGTTATGAGAGTTCCAGCAATACATAGCCATCTTTTTGGTCTTTGATTTGTGTGTCACTCCTGTTAAAGTCAGATGACTAAATATATTTCTGAAAAGAAGAATATTGGCCCTTAATCACAAACAAAACTCTTTCAGGAAGGTATAACAAGGGAAAATAAATATGGTTTTTAAGTGCAAAAGTATTCAGCAAGAAGAAATAGTATAAACATTTTTATTCAGTTGTATATGTTGTTATGCTACATAATGTACCAACATTAAAATCTTGGTGACAGTAGTTCACTTTTAATATTAGAAGTATAATAAAGTTGAATTAAATTTTTAAATTTGTTTTACCTTTATATATTCTTTCATTTAATCCCCAATTTATAAATTGGAGATAGATATGCTTTGAAACTGATAGGCACCGTTAACGTTACATTCCTAACAAACCCCCCTAATTAAAAAGGTGATCATGTGTACTAAATGATATTTGGAATGGAGGGTAAGGAAAAGAATTATACAAGCTATTATTATTATTATTATTATTATTATTTAGAGCCCAATGAGGATGTTTCATAATCTGAAGGATGTGGGATTTCTACAAGTGAAGGTCATCAGAGCAGAAGCATTGATGGCAGCTGATGTTACAGGCAAGGACTCATTATGTTTCTGTGATAGTCTAATAAAAAAGTGGATCATTTGAAAAATGGGACAGTTTCAGCAAAATATGAAGTTTAAGAATGATAAAGTGTCAGAACTCTGTTGCCCATTTGCAGACAACATATCTCCTAGCAAAAAACAAAAATTCTGAAACAAAACTTTTATGTGCTGGACCATGAGTTGTAATGCCAGCAAACAGAATCCTACAGTTTCTATGGGAAAGGAGAAATACACCTTTTTCACCATCAGAGGTCCTGCAAAGACATTTTATGTGGTAGATGTGCAGGACTTTATTCTGTAATGGGTACAAATATATGAAAATCTCATAATCAAAATGAATTGAAGGTAAATATTGTTTACAAGACAAAGCAGACAGTTAATTCAAAATATGATAGGCTTAGATAATACATTAAATCTGTCAGGAACTAACCTTCTGGAATTTACCAAAGAGCTTGACAGACTGGTTCTAGTTTAATATTAAAATACTAGTAATAATAATCAGATCTTCCCAAGGAACACAAAGTTTCCTGCAACCAATGCTACTTCAGTGACTAATTGTAAAGACTGATAAGTAAATAATTTTAAGTAATTATGTAGTAATGCTTTGTTCTGTGTCCGTATAATTAGCTGAATTGATACAGTTGTATTTTGCTTATTGAAAAATATTTAAGAAAAAAATGTTGAAACTAACCAATATTTTATCTTCAAAAATAGCTAAGTTCTCTCTTAAAAGTGCAATGAGCGTCATGCTCCACAAGCTAAGGGGAATAAGAAGAGATTGTTCACTTTCATAAAGTACCTATCATTACTATAAAATTCATGAATATTTGGTTTAGCTGCCACCATAGAAGTTAAAGTACAAGTTCTATTACAGGAATAAATGTAGGCATGATCGGATATGTCTCCTGTAATGCTTCTGTATAAACTAATATGATATAAATATTTTTTTTTCTTTAGAGATCTAACAGGGCAAAAAAATGCTGAAACTGATCATCCAGTTTGTGAAACACAAAATAACGGATTCTTTTTTTGGAGGAGGTTGGAGAAACACTTCTTAAGATTCTTCACTCTGCTTTGACCTTATAATCCAACGTGGTCTGAACAGAGAGAGAGAGATTAAGTTATTCAGGGGCAATGGGATGATTCAGTCTCTGACCTGGTTCAGTCTTTGACTTTTCTTGATCCTCATGTCATTTCTGCACAAGATTTTGGAAATGCATTTGATTCAATTAAAGATGTACAGAACTACTGAAACTATTTTAAGACACTGTACATTTTGAATGACTGTCAGTTATCAACGGAAATAAACACCTGCTATATTGCCATCCTAGGTGCCCTAAATATTTTGTCTGTCCACCAGGATTAGCTAGAACAATTATTTGTACTAAATAAGTATTTTTAAAGAAGGCTGTATATTTCAGATATCATACTAATCATTGGACCACTAAGAAGAAAATATTTGCTATAAGGTTGAAAAAAAGGGAAAAGATTTATTAAGTGCTCTGACATATCTATTTTTGTAGGGACCTTTAGAACCATTTGAGTGGCCTGCCTTCCGATTACAATTTGAATTTGAATAGATGTTTAGAAATAACTGTTAATGAAAGGATTTATTTGGTGATGGATGGTTTTTTGATTCTTCATATTATGATCAAGCCTCTTCTGTCATAATAAAGTGTTTGTAGATGCCATGTTGGACCTGCTCCTCCCACCCTTACTCAAGTGAGTAATCCTTATTTATGGGAGTAGACCAGCTGACATCAGCAATATAATATGTGATTAAGATTTGCTTATATGAATCAAAATTGGGGGGGGAATGCTTTGCATTTTGTTTATTTATTTATCTATTTATTATTTGGCATAATTTTTTCTGAGTTAACCTTACGGTATTTTATCCCAAGTCTAAGCAACAACATAAACACCTAAACAGTATCTGTGTGATTTGCTCCCCAGCCTCTAGGTTGAGAATTTCATTTTTAATATAATTTTTAATATAAAGTAATAAGTCAAAATGTATTAGCTTAGGCTGAATAGTTTAAAAACTCCATAATATTCCATCATTAAGCATAAGCACAGAGAGGAAAAGACTGCTGTAATCTTTTAAGTAGCCATCAATCTTGCTACAGTTACAAAGAATTTTTTCCTTTCAAAATGTAAAATTTTTTCTTTTGTTACCATACATTCATTGAGAAGCATTGTAATACTGTATTAACTCTGTGTGAATAAAGAGCAATTGAGACTCCCTTTGAATGAGTGAGTAAAAAGCACAAATTACTTTTTAATGAAACCCTCAGTTCTTTTCCTTTCCACAAAAAGCCTATAGCCTTGTTCAGCTGAATACTACTACAGTAGGTCACTTCAGTTAAGCCCCTAATAAACTGTTGATAGTTGAGGGTAGTTTTTTCTTCCATCTCAATAGGCCAGTGTTGGACAGTGCACTTCAAATCATTAAGGTTAATACAGATTAAAAAAAAGAGATTAACCGTGGTGGTTAAGGCCTCAGTTTACAACTCCCACACATACACATGCATTGAACAAGAAACAAGGGGTGGATTGAAATTTCAGTTAAATTGTGGGCAGGCTTTTACAGCCTGAGAAAGTGGGCGCAACAGTTTTGAAAATTGGTCACTGTTAAAGTCTCCTATAACTGGGTTTGAGAAGTATTAAGAAATACTACTCAATCCAGCCACTTACAAGAACACCCATTAAGGGCATAATCTTTGGAGGGATTGAGTATTTCCCTAGCAGCCAAACTTGACTTCAGTAAGAGTAGAAAGTACTGACCACCTTGTAGGGTCAGTCAGCAAAAGACCTGACATACTGTAATGCCCCTGCAACCAGGAGAAGCACAAAAGAACATGTCTCGAACAAGGTCATGGAATTCTTTCTGTAGGTCAAAAATATTAGGCTTCTACCAGTATGAACTTTTATTTTGTTAGGAGGTGTGATGGGGCAAAGAACCACGCTTGAAAGATTTTCATGGAAACACTGTATTTTTGGAATTCAGGTATGAAGAACTGCAGCAGATCAAGAGAGGCTGCTCATTTCTTATTTTCTTCCTGAGCTGCTTCAGTTTACATCCTTATTAAGCATTAACTGTTCAATGCTAGGTTGTTTTATTTTTTTCTCCACAAGTCCTCAGCAAAACAGGAAAAGTTATCTTTTCCCTTCCTTCTGCATTCCCCCTGGCTTGCTTGGGGTTCCTTATGAAGGGATTGTAGCCTTCAAAGAGACTAGCTGCTTGTGAAGCACTGGTACACACTGGTACAATAAAGCTCTGGCCAGTGAGAAATATACATACTAGCAAATTGTTTAAAGGTAGTGTATAATAATATTCATCATCTGAGTTAACCTCTCAAATTAACACGTTTTCCATGCATTTGAACCAGACGAATTTTAGGAAGAAACACAGACCCTTTTAAAATGAAATATAGCATCAGTTATAGCAATAGTCAGATAAATTGTATTTTGCTTCCTGCAACAGTTATGTATATAGAAGGCTTATAAAGCTCTAGTTCGCTGGTGAAATCATCTAATTTAATGGATGGTGTTTGCTAATCCTTTATTAAGGTAGACATGTTCATACTTTTCTTTAGAAAATCTGCCTTATTGATAGCAGATTATTTAAGGAAGAAAACAGAGTGAAAAAAAGATATGCCACAGTTTTTATCAACCTCATTGAGAGTCTTATTATCTTAAGAAGTAACAGTTAGCAACTCAGATTCATTAGTAGGGCTAAATCTAAGCTCTATTTGACAGCCTGCCTAGAAAACAGTTTGTTTTGCTGTCTGTGGGCTTTAATTAAGATGTGCTCAATTCTAGTCCCCTTGCTCTCCACCCCTCACGCCCCCACCGCACTTGCTGTGTCACAGACTGGCGATCAGACGCTTTCAGATGGTCCAGCCCATGACTTTGACCTTCTGCGCAGTCCAGCGTTCCCTGGGGAACCGTTCAGCTCATGAGGTCTGATTTCACACTTCCAGGATGCCTCAGCTCTCTTAACAATGACAGGGAGACAAAGCCCTTTAGAGCAGGCCGCATGGGGACTTGTTTAAATTGGAAACTAGAGAGGAGTCAAGGAACAAGGTTACGGGCTACAGAATAGTGCTTTTAATAAAGAGCTCACAGCTCTGGTTCAGCTCAAAGAGGGCTACCTCTGTACAATTAATTGAGACATTTATCTGGAGCATCTTAGGCCTCTACTTTCTCACAGAATTATGTGATAAATATCAGCGAAGAGGCAAATGAGATATGCATGAAATGAATTTTTAACACTTTGATGACTGTGTCTCCAGTCTTCATTAGAAGTAAATTTACTTGTATTTATGGCCTCATTATCAGTTGATTGTTTGTACTTTTTAGGGTTCTGAGTTTTCTGCACAGGACTTTGTATAAAAGGCATATTTGATTAAAGACTTCATGACATTTGGATTTAGTATCCTACATATGTTAGATTTCATGCTGTCACCTCTTGGGGAACAGAAAGCAAATGCAGCTCGAGAGAGGGAACTTTTTTTTTCTTTGAAAGTTTATATGAGAGAGAGTCCCCGTTCCTGGTAAATTCTTGTTAAAGTATTGATAAGTTTAAATGGAAGTAGGATAAGATGGGTAATATTTTCAGATGCAGATGAAGATGGTTTACATCTGTTAATTTCTAGGACCTGAGTTTTAAAGACCACCTTTGGCTTTGTTCCCGAGATGCTAGCAATATTTTTTTGCATATACACAACCATACATTTCCATATAGAAACAGAAGGCTCTTAATACAGAAATTCATAGCATGTATTTGAGTCTCCTTTAGAAGTATGGTTCCAGATGTAATTTGTACCATCCAGGAGCAGGATATCTAGTCCCAATATAAATATGAATTAATTTCATGACATGAAAAAGAATACAAAATACTATTGGGGGAGAAGTGGTAAAACTTCAGCAGGCCATATTTTTATTCACTCAGAGGATTAGTCCAGATTATGAACTAAATGTCCACAAA